GACTGAGCCCCACTGAATGGGCGTTGAGGCACCCCGGATGCTCCGTGTGGCCGAGGAGCATTGCCAAATACATTTTCCACAATGCTCCTCAGAGCCGAGAGTGGCTTTTCACCCCAGAATGCCTGCCTTGGTACTTAGAGGCAGCCGGAAGGAGGCTTTCTCTGCTGAGGTTAATCTTCTCCGGCACAAATCCCTGGATGGAGTTTATCCGCCAGCACAGCAGCAGCAGCAGCAGCTGCCGCCTCTCGGTGGCTTTGCACAATGCCTCCTCCTCGGTTTCTTTCTCTTTGGGTGTCTCCCATTCTTCCCCGCTCGCTCTTTCCCACCCCACCTTCCTCTCCTTGTTTTTTGTTGTGCTTTTTTTTTTAACTTTGTCTCCCGATTTCCATCTCTCTGCCTTGGTGCCACACCCCTCAGCAGCCTCTCCCTCCCTCCCTCCCTCCTGCCGCCACCGCCGCTGCCGCCTCTGCCTCTGTCTGGCTCTGGCTTTCTCTCTGCCAGGGGAGCCCTCCCATTACCTCATATTTGGAGAGAAGCCGCTGCAGCCAATCGCGTCTCTGGCTGCTTTTGGGTCAAGTGATTTCTGAACTGCAGTGAGGTGCTCTGAATGTCTCTCCCTTCAGCTCCCAGCCTCGTAAGATGGCTGTCTGAAAACGGCAGCGGCTCAGCAGGAGGAGCATCTTGATGTGCGGGTGTGTGTTCGTATTTGAGTGTGAGCGTGCTTGCAGTTGTGTGCATTTTTCAAATGGGCACCTAATCTGATGAAGCAGCTGCTGGGATTTCTCCAGGAGGCCGGTGGCAGCATCATCGCTGCATTGCCACTGGAGCCCTGCGCACCACCACGGAGATGGGAAATATTCTGGGTTGTGTCAAAGAGCTGAAAGAACCAGCCAGGGAGGTGGGGAATGCTCCCCTCTCCCCGCAGAGGAAAGCTCGCTTCAGGCGGAAGAGGAAGGGGAAGGGGAAGAAGCCGATGGCCCCGGAGATGCCTGATCCAGGAACAGAGAGACCCTCCTCGCAGGCTGAGACAGCTGAGCAGGAGGACGAGAACGAGGCATCAAAGAAATTCAGAGGGTCTCCTCTGGAGGAGGAGGAGGGAAGGGCTGGGGGCTTCCACCCAAGCACTGCTTCCTACAGGGAGGCTTGGCCACATTTGAAGATGGAGAGTCTGGAGCAAGGACACATCGTGCAGGTGAGGGAGAAGTTTCAGGGGACTCTGGAGCGAGTTCACCTGGTGACAGACAAGACCTTCTCCCTACCTGGAAGCCCAGGAGACTTTCTTGAAGAGGGAGCCACATTCATTGCTCACCTGCTAGACAACCCAGCAGAGCAGAACTGTGAGAAGGTGGCAAGCCAACTGGTGGTTCTTCAGAGGCCGGTGGGTTTGGGCAACAGCCGAGCAGTTCTGGTGCCACTGCCCGTGGAGGCTTTGCCTGAAGTACCTGGGGAGAATCGCTTGGGAGAGCTGGCAGGGGTGGGCTCTTGGGCTCAGCCAAAGTTGGAAGTCCTACAACAGCAACAAGGAGTGACAACAATGGTGGAAGAGTCCTACAAGAACTGGAGTAGTGAAGAAGGAAACGAGAGTCTATCGAGCACTATTTGGGGAGCTTCTTATACGGCAGAGAAGGGCACAGTCTCGGAGCTGTCCACGCCATCACCTATGGTGGATCAGGTGGAGCTCAAAGGGATGGAGAATCCTCTGCAACCTCCATCTCCACCAGAAACACCTGTTGTCAAGAGAAAAGAGGGCATCAGCACAAAGTTCCCAGCCTCCCAAAGCAGGGTGTCTTTCAGTGGGTCAGCCTCCAGCGCTTTCCAGTCCTCTTCGGGATACGGCAGCGACTCAACGCATCAGCTGGCAAAGGCGGCTGGGGCTTCATTCTGCAGAGAGAGATGCCCTGCCTCTGGGAGAACGGATGGACCCAATGGGAGAAGAGCCACCAAGGAAAGCCGCAAGCCAGCCAAAGGAGGGGTCAGTGCAGTTTTTCTTTTCCAACTCGTTGAGACTAGGGCAGGACAGAGCAAGCCTGAGGTGTTGCAACCATCATGGAAGTCATATATTGGGATTCGGGTTGGGATGGGATTCAGGTCCTAGAGTGCAATCTGGATAAATTGGAAGAGCCCCTTCCCGGGCTCTCATTGGGAAGGATAATAAGAGGGAATAATTTGCAAAGTTGCACAATTTCAGCTGTCTGGAATAATTGTAGGAAATCAGTGTGGAAGTAAAAGCAATTCACACAAGTTTATTTGAGAGATTTTGTTTGGTCTTTTGATCCAGGGCTCAGACCTGGCTTAGATAGTGAACTCCAGAGAGACCGAATGTGAAGTAAGTCCCCATCTTCTCTTAAAGGTGTGGGATGATACACTTCACTGACCATCTCACAGGGTGGCAGTTCCAGACTTCTCTGTCTCCTTAGGAGAGAGATGTGTAGTCTCTTCAACTCAGATCTGTTTGAGGGGGGCATCTTGTGGTGGAACATCTTCTAATTTTTAGGGAAATGGGGATATGCTGGGCTGAGCCCTGCTGCTTAGAACAAGTTCTAAAATAAATGCCGATGCTCAAAGATAGTGTAGGCTGTTGGCCACTCAACTCTCCCTGTGAACATCGGCCTTCAGAGTAATCTGAAATGGAATAGCGATGCAGGAAGGAAGGTTACCTTGCTTGGTCTGACTCTCTACAACAAAGATATTCAGCCTTGTGTCCTTCTGATGTTCTGGGATTTGCCTTCCATCTGCCCCCACCTGCACAGCCAGGGGCTGGAGATGGCAAGAGAGGTCTGGAGGCTCACAGCTGGCTCCGAGGAGCAGAGCTAAGGCCATTCCAGGCTCTCATTGTGACTGTTGCCAGACTGGCCGCTTCTGTTGACTTTCTCTCGTGGGTGAGCGTGCTGGAACCCCCCTTTCAAGTCTTCATTCCCAGAGAGTGATAGTTGCAAATTTCCAGTGGGGGATGATGGGGCGGAGAGCAGTGGAGCCAGTCTAGAAGCTCATCATCAGCGTAGATAACCCAGCTGATATGTGCTTTTCAAGAATAATGCCATTTAAAAAAGAATAATATGACATATTTCTTGTTAGATGGAATTTAAACATGAAAAATGTTATTGTAGGGCAAAGGTTATAGAAAGTAGACATATGGGGCCGGAGGTTTTCTTGTAGACCAGAATTCACTTAACGCCCAACAGTTCTTTACCTAAATCAAAAGAAGACTCAGATATTAAGCTTGTCCCCTTTGATCCCAGGCCCCTCCCCCCCAACCCTTTCGTCCCGTGTGGAGGATTGGAGAAGTCATTGGCCAGGCCCAGGAGGACCCAGATTCCTGTCCCACACCATCATAGAAGCTAACTGGGTGACTTTGGCCATCCATTCCCTCTCCATCTCATCTACTACGCATGTTTGTTTGATTTTTAAGCTCCCCTATGCTTTTGAGAAAGCTGGGTTGCTTAGAGTCTGGTCTGTTTCACCATTTCGATGGGGTGAACATACCTGGATGGCTGGTAAGAGTCTTTCCTTCCTCACTGACTTTTTTCCATTTATCTATCCAACACTAATAACCAGGTAAAGTAGATCAGAGAAAGGAGAAATGCTATCAAATTTTAGGGCTGTTCCTCTTTCCCAGTGACTACTTGGTATCATCCAAAACAGCTTTCCAGTTCTTCCTCCTCTCAGCTTCCTACCCTTGCCATGCGCAAGTTTGCTACTGGGCATTTCTAAAGCGATGTAAACATCATCCAGCATGTTCTCATGTCCGTATTCTGGGGAAGCCAAAGGTCTCTTGGGATTTGTTTTGTGAAGGAACAGGCCTGTTAGAAAAGCTTTCTTGGAAACCCCCAATGGATGACTTCAGTCCTCCTACAGGTGCTGTTTGGTGTCGGTGTGGGTAGAGATTAAGGATTTGGGATCGTGGTGTGTGACTGCCAGCCGGTGTTCGTGGATTAACAGTGACTTTGGCTGTCACCGGGCTGGTTTGCTTGGTCACACAACCAGTAAGGGCCAAAGTAGCGTTGCAGGATGGTGCTGTTTAGACCAGGTAGCAATTGTGTGTGGGCAATACAGTCTCAAGGCTGGGAAAAGGACAGTCGCAATGGGCCTGCTGACTCAAAAAAGCAGGAGGAAGAGGCTTAAGATTTAAACCTTAAGTCTTAGGATAGAGGGCTTGAAGAAGTTGGTAGTGGACGGCTTGGCCTGCCTGTTTGGACAAGACTAGAAAACAGCTTGGTGACTTTTTAACTTTTGCTTTTTGATCTGTGGCAAATTCTGGGCGAGGGAGATCCGAATGCCAGGCTCTCTCCAGACTCTGTTGAAATGGGCAGCTCTGAGACATTTGAGTCTCAGCAGGACAGGAGCTCTTATGCAAGCAGACCCAGCTTCCTTCTCACTCGGTGTCCTGCATTGTCTGTGGATCTTCAAGGGGAGAGGAGGTACCTGCTTATGAGCTGCAGCCTAGCTTTTTATTCAAGAATAAAGGCTAGGATTGTACAGTGGACAGGAAGGATGGAGGCAAGAAATTGCCAGTCAAGAGACAGTTCTGTTTATCTCATCAACGACAGCTTAGGTCAGGTGGAAGGAAACCTGGGAAGGACTGTTTCAAATCACTCTGCACAGATGGGTGCGGAGCATTCCTTTTGCGGTTTCCAAGCCTCTGCCTTTACCCCAATCTAACATTAAAGAGATCTTTCTAAAATCTGAGTAATTCTTGCTTCCTTGAGCTTGATCAGTTTGGTAGGCTTGGTAGGATTTTTGTATCACAGTGCATCACATATTCTCCCAGATGACAATTCTCTCTTGTTTTGTTGGGTCTTGTGAAGAAAACTGCCCCAAAGAGTCAGATCACATGAATCCATCTCATTTTTTTCCCCTTGAAACCCAACACAAACCACCTGCTTCACAACCTCAGCAGTCCTCTTGTCTCAGTGCCTGGCTGGGCCTCCTCTGTCACTGGAACATGGGCTGTTCTGTGGAGATCCATCTAAAGGCCTTGCGGACCTGTTTGTATCTTTCAGATCTCTGACATCTACATCAGCGGAGAGTCAGGGGACATGTCCGCTAAAGAAAAGCTCCTTTTGTGGTCACAGAAAGTAACGGCTGGTTACGTGGGAATCAAGTGCACCAACTTCTCTTCCTGTTGGAGCGACGGGAAGATGTTCAACGCTGTCATCCATAGATATCGGTAGGTAGAAGCCCTCTCCTCCGTCTCAACCACGTAAGGGAAATTTGTCCAAAATAGGCGACACTTCTAATGCTGGAATGAGCCTGATTTGTATTTTGCAACTGGATATGTCCAGGGTGTCAGTGAGAGCTCCTAAGCCGCTTTTTCTGACTAATCGATTTCATTGAATTGAACCTTTTGTTGAATTTTATTTTTTTCAACCTTTATTGAAAGATATATATTTTTTTGTGCAACCAGAAGCAGTCTGGAAGCACATTAAAAAGCTGCCGGCTCACCTGCGTTTTTTTGCTGCCATACGCTTAACCCAGCTCTATGTAGAGGCCATAAAGAATTTGGGATCAAAATCCTACAGCCAGCCAGACCCCAGGATGCCTCTGGAGTGTCACTGAGGGGCTTCCTTCTGTAGTGGCATCCCCACCTCTTCACCCCACCAGTTCCCAAAGCTTTTCTTGTAAGAAGACCTCTCCCCTTCACCCAACCCTTCTCGGTACCGAAGCCAGATGAATGGCTTAATTTCTGGGGTGTTTTCCCATCACCCCCTTTCACTCTGAATAACAGTGATGTCCTGGCTGGGTTTGATTTATTGTTTTTGTGTCTTTCCCAAACCACCTGGAGACAGTTTGTTTAAAAAACCTCTTAGAAAATACACTAAATAATGCTAGTAATTTATTAGTAGCCGATGCGAGCGCCTCTACTAGTAATAATAATAACCGTTTAAGAGCACCCACAGAGCTTTCTCTGACTGCCAAACAAGACCAACAACCCTAAAAAAAGGTGAGTGGCCCAACCTGAATGCACAGGCAGCCACTCTGAGATGTGATTCTGCAGCTTCTTCTGATTCTTGAGAGGTTCACATGGGTGAGGCAACCTCCACTGAGTGGGGAAAGTTTCAGTTACATCCACAAACTCCCAGTCATTGCAACTCATCATATTAGGATGAGAAGGGATTAGCTTGCCAGCATCGAAACATTTGGGCTTGCTTTGTTTTCAGGCTCTGTGGGCTAAAATCCCAGAGCCACCAGTCAACACCACTGGGAACATAACAGTGAAAAGAAAACGGATGTAATTTTCTTAGGCAAATTTTGGTTAGAATCCCTCCATACTGAGAAACTTTAGAGTGATTCCACCTTAAGACAGGGTTTAGGTTTGGAAACTGTTCTGATTGCAGGGATTTGGGAGGTGGGTGCTTAAGAAATCAGATAACTTTTGTATGAGGAGGTAAGAGGGTCCCACAGATCTTCCCCAAAAGGAGGATGGAGCTGCCTTTGCACAAGGAGGGCTTCCCTGTTAGAGAAGGACGCCATCGGCACCCTGGCCTTCTCAGTACGCCCTCCTCAGACGTTAACCATTGACGGATGTCCCTTCGCAAATCATCCACATTCACAGAGGCCTTCTGGTAACGTCTGTGTCCCCAGGTGGAGAATGGGATGAGGCTGTTCCTTCTCTTCTCTAGCAGATGTGTACTGCTTGCTTGCAAGTGCTGAATCATCATAGTTTGGTTTATCGGTTTCCTACAGACCAGATCTTGTGGACATGGAGAGAGTGTACATTCAAGGCAACCGAGAGAATCTGGAGCAGGCCTTTGAGATTGCTGAACGGCTGGGGGTCACCAGGTTGCTGGATGCAGAAGGTGATTGAGGGAACAGTGGCAGGAGGTTGGATTTGGTGGAGATAAGTTAAGAAACTTGGGCCCTGGAAGACAAGAGAGTTTAGACCAAACCAACTAGGTTTACAACACTGGCAGCATGTCAGGTAGGACCCTCCTTCACTTCTCAGCATCCTGGTGTAGCTTGCGAAGTTTAACCAGGGCCTCCTCCACAGCCTGAGCTACCCCCGTGTGGTTGCTTAACAACGGCAGTGGACGAGGGAGCTGGGATTGTAGCTGTTGAGTGAAATGGTCACAGTGGTGCCTTGCATAACGAAGCAATGGCTTATGACCCAAATTGTAGGCTCAATTGTGGTCATATGTTGAGGACCGCTTATATTACTATTATCTAGCGCAGGGGTAGGCAACCTCGGCTCTTTTATGACTCATGGACTTCAACTCCCAGAATTCCTGAGTCAGCATAGCTGACTCCATGAGTCATAAAAGAGCCGAGGTTGCCTACCCCTAGCGTTACTGATTTCCAAAGCACTTTTAAGAATTTGCTTCCATTAAAAAGCCAACATTGTCCCAAGAGGCATCTAGGCCTCTGGGCTTTCTGGAGACACTTAATTGATTAAAATAGATCTGCACTGATTCTTGTAGAGCAATGGTTCCCAAGCGGGGGTGCGAGATGATATTCCAGGGGGTGCGAAAACTTAGGTTTTCAAAATTATCGTGTATATGCATAATTTGTTGCCGTTATTTCAAACGTTTGTAAGGGGTGTGTGAGAATATATCAGAAGCGTTCTAGGGGTGTGGGGTATAGAAAAGGTTGGGAACCGCTGCTGTAGAAGCTTACATTTAGTCCCAGTCTGAACAGTGCATCATATAGCTTCTTGTGAACTATGCAACTTGAGATTACAGATGGTAAGAACTCTTTCTTAATTATTTTGCTGAAGAAGGAGAGAGAATGTTATTCATTGTAGGTAAAAAAAATCACCACTTCAGGGCAGAAGAGAGAAAATAATATCTTCTTGGTTCATAAGAGAATTTATATTCCATAGTGGAGCACACCCATAATCTTGAGTCCCTTACATGAAATGTGAAGTAATGCTGTCGTGAAAAAGCTTTAGACACAAGTCATTTTTCTTTTTTTCAGATGTTGATGTCCCTTCACCAGATGAAAAATCCGTTATCACTTATGTGTCTTCAATTTATGATGCCTTCCCCAAAGTCCCGGAGGGAGGAGAAGGAATTAGTGCCACTGTAAGTTTTGCCACTCTTTGTTCAGCCTGGAGGGTTCACTCAACATTTTGCTTTTCTGCAGCTTCTTAGCACTGTTGTTTCCAAGTGAATGATGTCACTGTGTACCTATGCGGGGAAAGGCAATGAACTGATGTGATAATATGGACTTATACAGTAAAAGAACTGTTTCGAATTCTTTAAGAGCTATCCAGCTTCAACTTTCTCATCTTTATATTATGTGTGAGATGTGTTGGGAGAGAACTGACAGTTGTGGCCTGGGTCATCTGGCAGATGTCAGGTTAGAAAGTCAGCTGTGTTTCTATGTGATCCTCTTTCTTGCTGCCTCTTGGTGGAAACTCAGCTTTTAGGAAGTGAGGATTGTTCTTCGGCTTCCTCTACTGCACTGAGAGGCAGGCACTGAGATCCCCTCTTGCCCAGCTGTTCCTTGGCTGCATTGGAACCTTGGCACTGGCCTTGAGCCATTTTGCAGAGTGAACAGAAAGCGTGCATTTCAGTGTTTATTTTTTTCTTTCCCCCCATTTTGATGGTTCTTCTTCAGCAGGATATTTTTACCTGGTGTTTCCTTTCCTGTCGGTGCCACTTGATTGTCCTTGATTTTCCCTTTTCCTTGTAGGAAGTGGACACAAAGTGGTTAGAATATCAAACCTGTGTGGACACACTCATCAGCTGGACCAAGCAGCATACGATACAGATGTCTGACAAATCTTTCCCCCAAAACCCTGTAAAGCTCAAGGTAAGTTCTGGCCAGTTTTCCTCTTATCAAATCTGGAATAGCTCCTGATTTCAGTTGCTGCACCGTCATTTGTGGAAGCTCCCTTCTGTCCAAAATACAAACCTGGTTGATTCTGTGGCTTTGGTTGAGCTTAGTTGTGGATCACATCCCAACTCAGAGAGTCGGTTATCTGGGGTTGAGGACACCAGACTAGAAACCAGGACAGGGTGAGCTCCAGTCCCTCCTTAGGCCAGTCCCTCTCTCTCAGCCTCGCCCACCTCACATGGTTGTTGTTGAGGACAAAGTAAGAGAAGGAAAGTATTGGGTATGTTTGTTATTTAATAAAAGTAATAAAGGCATAATAATTTTATTTAAAAAAAAACTGAAGGCCCAATCACCACAGCCCCTGAAGTAACATGATGCTTTTTGTTTTGGAGAGGGTCTTAGAAATAGTTTCTTTTTATCTCTGTTTTCTGATGTGCAATCTCTATTTGGCTCCGGCCTGGGGACAACCAGGAGTGCTCCCAGTTAGAGGCAGCACAGTCTCTGGAGTAGCAGAAAGCAGAGGAAAACATTTGGCCACCAGGGAGAAGACTTCTGGTTGTTCGCTGCTATTGGAACTGAGGTTGCGGGGGGGGGGGGGAGGCAGGGAATTGGTCCTCCTCTAGGAGTGAGGGTGTCATCTGCGAGGCTGCTGTTGTGGAGGGGAACAACTTCTCGCCTCCCCTTTCCTTTGGGGCTTCTGTCTGGGTCACTAGAGGCAGAGAGATGAAACTGGGAGAGGAAGCAGGATTAGTTGTTTGTTGGGAACAGGAGGAAGGGGAATGTGTGTGTTTTTTTGGGGGGGTGGGGTGTCATCCTTCTGCTCCTCTTGGCAACTGAAGTGAAGTGGAATGAAAGACTCTGAGAAGCATTTGGCTGCCTGGCTTTTCCTGCTTTAGCTAAGTGCTAGGAAAGAGGCTTGCTCTGGTTGTTTATTTGATATGCCACCGCAGTCCACAGACATTAGGGGATGCACGATGTCATCTAAACCCCACCTTAAAACATCAGAATGGCTAAAACAGATGGTTGCCCACAATACCTCATTGAAAGGCCCTTTGGAGGAAAAAAAAAGATTTTCAGCACCTCTGAAATGTCAGAAGGGGAGGGCATTAATTCACCACATGAGGACCACTACAGAAAATGTCTTTTTGTGGGGGTGGGAATCTCTTACCTATCTGGACTGGGCAGGCAGCCTCGGACATAATAAGGCAGATTCTGATGTACCTTGGCAGTAGGCCATGTGCAGCTGTATAGCCATTATTTTGATTGAATCCTGAAAATTACTGATAACTGGTACAACAATGGGCATCCCTCTGCGTGAGCTGATTTTCCCAGCTAATAGCCTGGCTGTAGGTTCTGCACCAACGACAGTTTCTACGTTAACTGCATTAAGGGCAGCCCCACTTAAAGAGTGTTGCAGTAGTCTGCTTATGTGATGATCAGGATGTGAGTTCTTGTGGATTTAGAGTCAGGAACAAGAATGATCCAGAGGAACGTAACAAAGAATAGACAGGCCGCAGGATTGCAGGAAAGAAACTAACAGTTGGAAAAGGATTGAACAGAAGGTCCTGGGAAGCTGCCTTCTGCTGAATGAGGCATCAGCCTGGCTCTCTGTGAGAGACTGAGGAGGCCAGGAAAGGATTGAAAGTCAACACAGGCCCAAATAATCAAGAGGCAGAGCCAGCATTGGCAGCGAGAAGGGAGCTGTAGGGAAGCTACCCTTTATGATCTCACTTCTTGCTTCTAAGAACTTTCTGCAGATCAAAATATGATGCATCTCACCTTCTTCAAGAAACACGATTCATGGATAAATCCCTCTGATTTTGCAGGCACTTTATAATCAATATATCCACTTTAAAGAAACAGAAATCCCAGCAAAACAGTTAGAAAAAAGAAGCATTGAAGAGTTATACAAATTGCTGGAGGTAAGAGACTTCCATAGATGTATTTTCCCCCCATATATTTTATTGATTTTTTAAAACATAAATCATTTAATAGTTGGTAAACAGTGTGTTTGCTGGGTTTACATTTGTAAAGAAAAATCATTAACAATTGGTTTCTATAATCCATAATCCACGTAGTACATTTAGTTGATTTCCCCTTTTCCCCAAAATGTCTTCTTTGCAAACCTTGAGTTAAGGCTTTCCCCAAGACGAATGGAACGACCGCCGTCATTCCAGAGTCACTGGGGCACCCTTCTTTCTTCGCCGCCTCTCCGGGGTGGCTTGGACCCATTAGGGTCTCCAGGCAGGACGAAAATTAGCCACAGGGGTGCGGCGGTTCGCAAGCCCGCAACCAGTCGCTACCGCGCAAGACCAGAAGTTTCCAGATTTGCATAGATGCATTGGGGTATCTTATAACAAGAGTTGCAAATTACCACTGTGATTTGGTAATTTGACTTTTAATGGATGGCCCAGAATTTCAGTTCTGTGTTCCCTTAAATCTGTCACCTGCGTGTCAGTTACAAGTAAGCTCTGAGTCCAGCTTTGCACACAATTCCCCCAGTGAAATTTTATAGCATGAACCAAGTCTCTGTTCTAATTCTCTGTAGTACTAAATATGCAGGGCCAGTAGCAGTTTTCCTGGGAAGACCATTTTAGGGGAGCGTGGAAGATTAAGGAAGGTGGTGGATCAGGCCCTTCTTCTTCCCCAAGTAGGCTGCTGCCAAATTCTGGGGCCACAACTGTACCTCCCTCTCTTAGCCTGACCTCTGGCTGCTGCTCCCTAATTGTTTTCCATGACTGAAATTTAGTTCAAACTCAGCTTGGTGAATTTACACCATGCCTACTGCCCCTTAAGTTATTTAAGACTTTTCTTACCTCTAAATGTTGTCCAAACAGTATTGTTGGGCAACATACAGTTGTTGCAGAGGAGAATTTCCTGGTAGGTAATTCTCATTATCTCCAAAAAACAATGGATGGAAACTAATCAAGGAGAGAAGCAGCCTGGAATTAAGGAGAAACTTCCTGACAGTGAGGACAATTAACCAGTGGAACAGCTTCCCTCCAGAGGGTTGTTGGTGCTTCATCACTGGAAGTTTTTAAGAAGAGACTGGACAGCCACTTGTCTGAAATGGTATAGGGTCTTCTGCTTGAGCAGGGGGATGGACTAGTTGACCTCCAAGGTTCCTTCCAGCTCTATTCTGATTGATTGATTTGCTGCACCTCAACCTAGACAAAAGAAAGCATAATTTGGATCTCAAAGCCCAGGAGAGGACCTCTTTCTACTGGATGTGTCCCTGGTCAGGCTCAGGAGAAACGGCTTCTCCTCCTCTGTTGTGTTTTCCAGGCCTGGATTGAATTTGGCCGTCTGAAGCTGCCGCAGGGCTACCACCCCAACGACGTGGAGGAAGAGTGGGGAAAGCTGATCATAGAGATGCTGGAGCGCGAGAAGCTGCTGCGACCGGCTGTGGAAAGGTGAGCCCCGTGCTGGGCAGCGTGAGGGCTGGGAAAGTTTCTTCTCTATGTTGCGAAGCCTGCTTAAGTTAAACTCTTGTCTTGAGAGAAAACAAAAATAAACATAAAGTAAACATTCTTTTACTTAGAGAAAGAAGTGGCTCATCCATTCTCTTAGAAATAGTGACTGATGCTTATTTTGCAGACTGGAGCTGCTGCTGCAGAGAGCAAACAAGATTCAGAATGGGACCCTCAGCTGCGAGGAAAAACTCACCTTGGCCCGGAACACGCTGCAGGCCGTAAGTCTCTGCTCTGGGCCTCCCTGTGGCCCTTCTTCACTCCCTCCCTTGCAGCCACTGGGGGTGGCCTCCCCTTTGGTCTCTCGGGGCCACGGACCTTGCTTTCTGGCCTTTGAAACAGTCTCCCATGTTCTTGGACTCTGTCGTTAGGAAAACAGAGCTAGGGAACTAGCTGCTAATTAAGTGTGCCAGACATTTCACCATTTGTAGCTGGAAGTTGCTTTGTCTGCCTGCAGTCGCTTCCTGCTTGTAGGACCTCCTCTTGCTCTGTCCTTGGCCCCTGTGCTTTCCTCAGGCTCCCATCGATGGTACGTTGTTTCTTGCTCCCTTCCATCTTCTGGTTATCTCCTCCTCCTCCTCCTCCTCCTCCTCCTCCTCCTCCTCCTCCTCCTCCTCCTGTTTCACTGTCTCTCCTGTTCCACTTGCCCTTTCTTCTCTTGCCTTTATCAAGCATTGCAGCCTTTCTTGCTACATGTGCAGAAATGCTCTGGTCTTTGACACCCTTCAGAGAAGCAATCCCGTATCACACTGTACTCTCGGCTGACACCTTTTTTAAGATCGGTTCCCTTTCATGACTTCAGAGTTCTTCTGCCAGAGGTTTTGGGCATCTTCCTCAAAGAGGGAATAACCTTAAATTATCTCTTGCCAGGATGAAACACACTTGGAGTCGGGCCAGCCGGTGCAGTATGAATCCGACGTCATCATGTACCTCCAAGAGTGTGAAGGACTCCTCCGACTGCTACAGACGGATGTTCAGATACTCCGGGATGAGAACTATTACCAGTTGGAGGAGCTGGTCTTCAAGTGAGTGATGTTTGTGGACAGCTGAACTTAGAAAGGAGCATTTAAGAGCATTTCAAGTCTGGGGAAAGGGTGGATCCTCCGTCTTCCAAAGGACGCTTGGTCTTGGGCCAGTCTGAGGACCTTGTAATGCCTGGACAGGCCCCGTGACATTCCAGCTGACCGATTCATACTGAATTTATACTGCGCTGCACTCTCATGGGAATCATTTCATACAAGTATAAATGTTATAATATCTGCAGCCCAATGAAACCCAAAAACATAAAGCACACAAACTGGGACACGCCTGGTCACATAATGACTCGATTTACAACTACAACTTATGACCATAATTCTGGGCTTGATCATGGTCATGTCAAGGGCTTTTTCATTTTTAACAATCTGTTATATTTTAATAATGAGTGATTTTATGTATAGTTGTTTTATTGATTATTGTACTCCACCCAGAGAGACCTTTTGTGAGATGGATGGCCATATAAATGGGATTAATAAATAGAGGGTCAGGAAGTTTCCAGTACTCTGTTTGCAGTTGTGTGTATATGTGATTCTCTGCCAACCTTGCCTCTTCAATCAACCAATCAGAATGGAAGAGACCTTGGAGGTCTTCTAGTCCAACCCCCTGCTCAAGCCAGAGACCCTAGACCATTTCGGACAGGTGGCTGTCCAGTCTTTTCTTAAAAACCTCCAGTGATGAAGCATCCACAATGTCTGAAGGCAAGCTGTTCCATTGGTTAATTGTAATTGTTAATCACTGTTAGGAAGTTTCTCCTTAATTCCAGATTGTTTCTCTCCTTGTTTAGTTTCCATCCGTTGTTTCTTGTCTTGCCTTCTGGTGCTCTGGAAAATAAGTTGACCCCCTCCTCTTTGTGGCAGATACTGGAACACTGCTATCATGTCACCCCTAGTCCTTCTTTTCTCTAGACTAGCCAAACCCAAATCCTGCAACCGTTCTTCATATGTTTTACTCTCCAGGCCCTTAATCATCTTAATTGTTCTTCTCGGCACTTTTTCCAAAGTCTCAACATCTTTTTTGTAATGTGGTGACCAAAACTGGATGCAGCATTCCAGGTGTGGCCTTACTAAGGCTTTATAAAGTGGTACTAATACTTCACGTGCCTCTGTTTATGCAATCAAGGATTGTATTAGCTTTTTTGGCTGCTGTTGCACACTGCTGGCTCATAGTCAAGTGATCGCCCACTAGCACTCCAAGGTCTCTCTCACAGTTACTGTTTTTGAGCCGGGTTTCGCCTAATCTGTACTTGTACCTTTGGGGTTTTTTGCATAAGGGTAAAAAGTTTTCTCCCTATTAAATTTCATTTTGTTGGATAGGGCCCATTGTTCAAGTCTGTCAAGATCCATTTGGATCCTAAGCTTGTCTTCTGGGTGTTGGATATTCCTGCCAGCTTAGTGTTATCTGCAAATTTGATGACTTCCCCTTCAATTCTCTCAGATAAGTCATTTATGAAGATACTGAAGACTACTGGGCCTAAGACAGAACCTTGTGGTACCCCACTGTTTAGTTCCCTCCCTGTAGATATAGTAACATTAAGGACTACTAGTTGAGTACGGTTTGTCAGCCAGTTACAAATCCATCTGGTGGTGATGATGTCTATCTTGCCTGATTCTCTCCCAGGATTGTGCGGCTTCAAGATGAATTGGTAACTTTGAGGCTGGAATGTACCAATCTTTACCGGAAAGGTCACTTCTCCTCCCCCTCCTCCTTGGACTTGGCACAGCCTTCCTCCTTGAGCACTAGACACTTGAAGGCGGAACCTTTGCTAAAAGGAACGATTGTCACTCCTGCCTCTACCTCCTGGATTCGGAAGCCAATGACTCGTGTGGAGTTGGTGGCCATTTCATCCTCTGAAGATGAGGGCAACCTCCGTTTTGTGTATGAGCTGCTCTCTTGGGTAGAAGAAATACAGGTGCGTGGCATGATGGGGAGGACATCAGGTGATTGGTCTGGTGGTATTCAGACAAAGTGCTGAACTAGGTCAGTTACTGCCCTTGTGCAACATGCTAAGTTGGCTAATGTTGAACTTGATTAGATTTTTTTTGGGGGGGGGCTTAGTTTGTTGTATGAACACAGTTCATGTCTAGTATGGTGTGTCATTACAAACTTAGAAAATAGGTTTCTTCAATCACCAGATTAGGTATATTGTATGAATCCAATCTGTGGGTGTACCATTTGAAAAAAAAAGTTAATAACATTCTAAGATTCCATGAATAGATTTTTAAATGGTTTGATTATTTATTTTGTTTATACACTCTAGATTATGGAAGTATAATAAAAGTTATTTTGTGTCATTAACAAAAACTTCATACAAAGTAAAGAGAAAATTTTCTGGACAGCAGAATCTATATACTATAAACTCTCCTGTTTGTCTGTGTGTAATCTTTATCAGGGTGAAACATTGCATTGTATGGCAATAATTTTGAACCCAGGTATCTCAAATGGGCTTTCAGAATGCATCCAGAACCCATGACCCCCCTGAACTGAAATTTAGCCAATTTTATAGAACATGTTATGACATAATACAAAATGTTATATTTCCTATAGTGAAGTCTTGATGCTTGATTGTGCTATCCAGGGGTAGGCAACCTTGGCTCTTTTATGACTTGTGGACTTCAACTCCCAGAATTCCTGAGCCAGCCATGCTGAGGGGGAAAGGGAGAGGTTTCCAAGCTGAGCCATGCTGGCTCAGGAATTCTGGGAGTTGAAGTCCACGAGTCATAAAAGAGCCAAGGTTGCTTACCCCTGTGCTATACAGTACAATACTTTCAAGGCAGACGCATCTCTGAATATCTCCCTGAATCTTTAAGAATTTTTCCAGTACATTTAAAGCTCTGCTATTGTTGTAAGCATTGAAAATTCTGATAAAGAGCTATCTCTGAAATGATGACCCAGCGGCTGGGTCACCGGTTGTCTTGTTGCTCTTAAAAGTGATCTGACTTTTGGAGCTTCTCTTTTTATAAGCCCCAGAGAGATCAGGGAAAGAACAAAGAGAAGGTGCAGTGAGGGGATTTTTGTTTGCACTGCTACAATGAACTTGGTACACAACACAAGTAGGCCAGTTTGCCTTGAAAAACATTATTTGGCCAATTTATTGTAAAAGTTAGGCAAATTTGGGAAAGATTTCCACTGACTGACTTTCTGTTGCCCAATGTTGTAAATGTAAATAGTTATGATTTTTTTAGCTTTAAAAATCAATTGGAAAAGACAGTAGAAAGAATGTTATTGATTAGAGGAACCTTTTTTGGTAAGAATTGCGAATACTTTTCTCCTGCATTGAGAGGTGGCTCCTTTTGATGGCCTTTCAGATGAAGCTGGAACGATCTGAATGGGGGAATGACTTGCCCAGCGTGGAAGCCCAGCTGGAGGTTCAGTGCCAGGTTCACAGTAGTGTGGAAGGCATGGGCTCCAGCGTGAAGGAGGCCAGGATGTACGAGGTGAGCAGACCCATCTGAGCTATTCAAGACTGCTTTGAGGACACTGGGAGGCACCCAGATTGGACAAAGTGGGATTAGGTTTGCCTCATTTTCAGAGCTGAGGACATTTCTAATTGGGTTGATTTTCTCTAGAACATGATAACTTTTTTCTTGGTCTATACTATTGTATTCACCTCACTTCATCTTATTCCTCCAGATAAAATTGATAGCCAATGCAACAACTTCAAAAGAAATGTATCACTATGTATTATGCTTGGCCTTTCGCTATAAGGCTACAGTTGGAAACCAGGTGTTTTCGTAGGCCATCTCTCCATCTTATAGCAGGACCTCTGAGTAGGCAAGTCTAGTGGTAGGGCCACCATTATGTCACTTTTGTGTCCATCTGTTATCGGGCAAACATCCAAAGTATCTTGCCCTTTCCCATGTCTGTTAAATGTTCTTTTTGATAGCATCTTTGAAGTTAGTCCATCATTAATATAATTCTGATCTGATCTCTTGAGTTCTTGCTCTTAAGCATTTGTCTTTCTATTGCCTGTTGCATCACTTGGAGCTTTTCTGCATCTGCATTCTATTCTTCACTTTATTCTGAATTTAGTTATATAAAGAATGCAGGTCTGTTTACAGGAATACGTGAGTTTTTCTGGGCCCTGCTTTGCCTTTGATCTCTGTGTGGCCAAAAGCTCCCTCCCCAAAGATTGGGGGCGGGAGGGGAGCTAAAGTCATTCATTGGTATTTAAATGTATTTGAAACAAAATCTAGCTAATGTGATTACTGTCTAATCCTAAGTTTAGCCATTTCCCCCTTCTGTCATATTAAATATTTCAAAGTGATGGAGACGTTCTGAGGGCTATGCTCTGAGGAAGCAGGCTGTGCACTGATGCTCCGCTCTTTGACCCGGCGGGTGAGATGGGTTCCGCTAGCATCACCCAAAGGACATCTGAGAGTCTGTCTTTCCACAAGAGTCATTCTTCATGCCTGGGAAGAGGGAGTGGCCCTCTTCCAGAACCGTCTGGACCTTTCCCCCTCCAAAGTAATCTGTTGAGTTACTAACTGGGTTTGTCCAATAATCGAGGCCAGAGGTAGGCAACCTTGGCTCTTTTATGACTCGTGGACTTCAACTCCCAGAATTCCTGAGCCAGAGCCAAGGTTGCCTACCCCTGATCTAGGCCCAAAGGAGGTGTGATGGTTTCTGGTTCCCCCATGTGGTGGGAACTCAGCCATTCCCTTTGCATGTTGAAAGGAAAAATGAGAACAAGTAGGAAGGCTTTCTAGTTGATTCTGCTGCCTTTGAGCTGGAGAAGGAGACCATGCATTAAAAGGCAAGTCTTCCTACCTGGCCTATCTTTACTCCAGGTCCTTATCTCAGGGGCAGAGAAGACACAGAGCAGCTGGGACCTATCCTCAAAGAAAATAAATGGTTTACTTTTTCATAGTGTAAATTGGTCTCTAGAGCAGGGAAGGATCGTTATTTTCCTCTGCTTTTTCCCCCCCCTTAATGTTTTTCTGAACCTCATGAGGGCTAGGATCACAGAATCACCGCCGGGTGACCACCAGAGTGAGTAGCACCACAACATTGGGCCGATTCAAAACAATTTATGAGTTTGCTTATTTCTTTACAAACTCTGAAAGGTGGTTGTTTTAATGCCTACCTCAATATTCAAATACAGCTTGAGTATTTAAGAAGGCAAAAATGAAAAAGCAACCCATATTGCTGAAAATGAGTGGTTTTGATGACTGATCCTGAAAAACATTCTGGGCTTTGCAAAAATTGGCCCAGGGTCCAGCGTGTGGGCTGCAGATTGCCCACTTCTGCCCTAACTGGACTTGAGCTGCACTGTCTATTAAATTACGTTGAGCCCATTGTGTGTAATTTTGAAAAGAGGAGGGAAGAAAGAAATTCAAAGAATCCACCACGTCTAGCACATGCATTTCCAATCAGCCCTTTTTGTCCTCTTCTCCATTTAGGGTAAAATGTCTCCAAATTTCCGAGCCAGCTACACTGAGACCCTGGGGAAACTGGAGATGCAGTACTGCAAACTGATGGTGAGTATCTTTGGCAGTTTCTTTCCGGGGCCAAAAGGATGTCTGAAAATGTTGTTTTGCAACATTTTTTGAAGCTCTAACAGAAGTGCCAGTGCCAATAGAGGAGAATCTCTGTGGCTCAAGGTTGAGCTGGGGAGTCCTTGGTGCTCTCCAAGCTTGATTGTTTTCTTTCAGACATTTCATTATACAAGTGGGTAACATGCAACCCGAAACAACTAGGTAATGTGAGAACCGGCTGGGTGAGTTTGGGCCAGTAACTCTCTCAGTCCAACTCACCTCACAAAGGGGGGGAAGGAGTATTAGGTGTGTTTGCTGCTTTGAGTAATTGTAAAGTAATAAAGATAGAATAAAAATCAAATAAATAAACATGAAATAAATAAATAAACCGTAGACCAAGCCAAGTCTAAAACCGCTAGAGAATTTCTGGAAGTCTGGTGCTCTGCCAAATTGGCCATCAATAGACACATAGACATAAACAATATCTACATACTGTGCAAAAGAGACAATCAACAAAGCAAAAAGGGAACAAAAAGACCCAAACACCTCCCCACCAGCAATTAACTCCCAGATGAGCATAGATTGACCCCATGATTAACATCAGACCAACAATCAAGGGGTAAGCAATGTCCCAATTAAGGAACTGCCAAGCAAGCCAACAGTAAACTGCCCAATCAAAGAGCCTCTAAGACCACCGCAGCCAACACTGTGCAGGGCGGCCACTAGAGCATGAAGTGAGAGCACCCCCCCCCCCTTCCTAGCACTGATGAGGTCCCCTAGTTTGGGTAACAAATCATCTGCAGGAAAACAGCCAAGCTTGGAGAGCACCAAGGACGACGACTCCTCTGCCCTGAGTCACAAATATTTTCCTTTATCGAAAAACATCCTCAAGCGCCAGCTGTCTTTCTAGGGCTCCTTATAGCACTAAGATGTCACCTAGTCGGGTAACGAATCATCTGCAGGAAAACAGCCAAGCCCAGAGAGCATCAAGAATGCCACAGAAATGCCAGTTTCTCCTTCCTTCAAAGGGCACCTCTGTGTGTGCCCTTTGTCTTGCCACAAGAACAGATTCCTTGCAGGGGCTTCTTAGCTGCCCCCCTGTCATCCCCTCTAGTGATAAGGGACCAGCTTCTTATTTCGATGCATTTCACCATCAGGTTGGGCAAAGAAATTCCACACAAAAACCAGATGCATTTTTGCATGCATTTGTATTTACTTTTCCCCAAATATGGCATTTCTGAACATCTTTTTTCTAGTACGTGTTCATGTGTCCATATTTTTTCACATCACGTGGCAAACCACATTGCGCGCAACTTGGGTGTCCTCCTGGATCCACGGCTGACACTGGAAGACCAGTTGTCGGCCGTGACCAGGGGGGCGTTTTATCAGGTTCGCCTGATCTACCAGTTGCGCCCTTTTCTGGAC